GTGTCAATGATGCAGCTTCGAGAGGCTATAGGTGGGCAACCTGCAGGGCCAGGTGTCAATCAAGTGCCTTCGAGAGGCCGTAGGTTGGCAACCCACAGGGCTCAGTCACTCTGCAGGTGTCAATGATGCAGCTTTGAGAGCGCAACCTGCAGGGCCAAGTGTCAAACAAGTGCCTTCGAGAGGCCGTAGGTTGGCAACCTACAGGGCTCAGTCACTCTGCAAGTGTCAATCAAGTGCCTTCGAGAGGCCGTTGGTTGGCAGCCTGCAGGGCTCAGTCAGTCTGCAGGTGTCAATGATGCAGCTTCGAGAGTTGCCAGGGTGGGGCTGAGTCGAGCAGCCACCCTCGAAGTGTCAATGGCACACAGTCATTTGCAAAGCCGAGCTGTTTTGCAAGCAAGGTCCCCAAAACGGTTGTAGTTTGCCCTGGCTTGGGCTATTTAGCTCCAATCCATGACATCGAAGAGTCACAGTTCCGCTGGCGAAGCAAATCAGAACTCCCTCCTGAAAACCTGACATGTTGCGGCAACAACCGTGTGGGATTGTAGTAGTGTCAGCTTCAGGGATTTGAAACCTTTTGAACGCCACACGGGTTCCGATGAGGTCTACAAACTCTACAAGAGCGCCGGGGAGGTGGGCCAGCGAACGCTGAACATGTGGGCCAAGGACTGACAATGGCTTTTGTTTGGGGGGAGGGGCTGCGAAAAAAGGAAGCCCATGAGTAGAGCCCAGTCCAGGATGCTGACTCCCAAACAGATGGTGACTCTTCTCATTGTTGAGCTAGGTAGATGGTGGAAGATGTGGGATGATTCGGCATGTCCTTGTGCTGGAAGGCTAGCTGACTTTTGCATCGAAAGGTTGCAGGCGCAATGCACTGCGGGCTGATCATTTTTCTTTTGAACCTGAGGCTTTTCCTCCAGATATGGGCAACCCAAAGTTTCTGATGAGCACTCACCTAATGTGCCAAGAGGTTGGACGACCCAAACAACCTCCCTAGCAGCTTGCTGCGAAGACTGCGGTTTGGGCAATGGGAGGGCCTTGTCCATTGAAAGTAGGAGCTTGGTTTGCCGACAGCTGCGAACCACGTACGTGCACGTGGCGCAAGATCCTGTGTTCCAGGAACACGAAGCTCCAGGAACACGAAGCGCTTTGCAGCTTTTCCTTTGAGCGAAGACCCCCGTCAACATTTTTTACCCACTTGGACTTGGAGCCTTGAACCAGCGCAGGATCAGATTTTGGACCAAGATGCCATCGAGCCGGGGTTCCATCGCTTCAAGTGTCCAATGCTGGCCTTCGGAGCGGAACTGTCGTGGCGAACCTGGGTGAAGCTGGATGAGCTGCCTGAGGCAGATCAGGAGATGGTGAAGAAGAAGATGGAGATCGGTGGGGCCCTGTATTTGGGGGGGCCGGGGTCCGGAGAGTGCGGGGGACACCTGCAGTTTCGGAGTCGATTTTGGCACCTGCCATGACAGGTGTTTGAGGCTTGAGGGACATTTTGAGACGGTTCAGGCTCAGGAAAGAAAACATGAAACCGCCTCCGGGTGGTTGTTGATTTGGGTTTTTTCATTCTACTTCCTTCCCATCCTTCCCATCCTTCCCATCCTTCTCTCTGTGGCGTCCAAGCGATCAGCGCGCTTATGGCGCGCGCCGCGCGAGGGAAAACGAGCCGAGCCAGGTGCGTACATGAAGCAGCGGGAAGACAAAGTCTTTCAGGGCCACTTTCCCGAGTGGACTTACGAGACGTGGCCAGACTGGACGGAGCACCCGGCCGGCTGCCGCGTCATCGAGTGCAAGGGCACCAACCATATGGACATCAAGCTGGATGGACACTTTAAGCATGAGCTATGGAAGGCTCTGAGCAAAACCATCGAGAGCTTTTAGATGGGGCCCGTGCCTGCCCGGTGGGCTTGCTGGCTCCGTGAACCTGCGACGCAGAGGGTTTTCCCATCCTGACCAGCTCCTGGCGGATGTTCTGGGACGGTCGCGCCGTAGGAGCGCGGCTCTCTCAGGGGTGATCGTCTCTTCAGGGGTGGCCCCCGGTGGAACGGACGGAAAAAGCGGCGGCGACCCTGAGCAGTATGGACCTGGTCATGAAAATCACACGGTTGAAACAGAAGGGGCCAGGTTGAAACCGGTGTCTTAAGACGCAAAGTCTTTGATAGTTTCCTTTTCTTTTGTAGACTGGGGGCCGCCCTTGGCGCTCTTCACCCTTCAAAAGACTTCAGCAGTTAGTTCTGCCTGCGCTTCCTGCTCCAAGAGGAAAAAAGGGACGAGAAATGCCGTGGTCTTCGCTTTCCACACGCACATCAGGTAGGGTGGTGATCTGCCTGTCAGACGGGGTCCGGTGCCGTTTGGTCCGTGTGCGAACGGAGGACCGTTCGGTGGATGGCACCTGGTGGCCCAACCTGACGTCCTCCTCAGCCTACTGTGGCATGTCATTCGTGGCCAAGTGGCCTGGCTGAGGGTTGGATGCCTTGGATCGCCTGGCGGAAATCTGACTTCTCTGGTGGAAGAGTGGTGTAGTGAAACCGTTTGATGTCAGAGTCCGGCCGAGTTTTCCCTGAGGCATTTCCACTTGCATCACCGGAACTGTGTCAGCTGGCCATCACCAGGTACGCCGATGGCATGTCGTGGGGCAGCGACTCCATCAGCTGCATCCGGCCAAAGGATGAGCTCAGCACGCTGTTCTACGCGAGCTCGAACCAGATGCAGGCGGGCTCGTTGCGACTCACTCGTGACTCGTGGCCTGCTACCTGCAGACTTGCCCGCACTACGTGACCGGCTGGCCTTCTCAAAGCAGCGAAGTTGTTATCCTTCTGTGGTCAGAGAGCCCCAAGACGTCGCCTCACGGCTCGGGCAAACCCAGCCCCCAAAAGCAAAAAAGACACTCCTCCTGTTCACGGGGGGCCCAACGAGGTGGCGTTCTCACTCGCGGAAGGCTTGAATCCTCAATTCAACACCAGCGAGGCACGGCTGAGGAGGTTTTGGTGCGTGGCGACGCACGGGGTTAGGACCGCTGGAGGTGAAGAAGAGGAGGGCGTGAAGTAGCATAACACGGAGCGGATTTTTTGGACAAATATGAACATGGAGGTCGTGTGGTGAACTTGGAGATAGTGGGCCCTCTGATTCGGCCTGCGTCTGATTCGGCCTGCCCGGCTGCCAGGTGTATTTGTACGAAGCCATCGAGCAGTCCACAATTGTGTTTGAGGCGTGATGCCGTTCAAAAACGGCAGACACCTCTATGAGTGGCCGAGAGGAGACTCTTCGCTTTGTGTTGGAGACACTCCGCTTGGGCCAAGGGAGATGCATGGTGTTGGCACTCCAATCGCCAGACCTCACGGGCAACCTCCAGTTTCAAGGGGTTGAAGTTGCCCTGGTTTTGACGCGCCGCCACGCGTCCTTCACCGATCCGACCGCCTGCGCCAAGCGCCAAGCGCCGCCCATGGTCGACCCGACCGCTGGAGGTCTCTTTCTCGACTTCGCGCGAGACGGTCTCCCACCTCCCGGGCTGCTGGGTGGCGGGGCTCCCGAATCGCTACGCGCAGCTCGTGCCCGGTGCCGACTATGGCGAGGGCTACTTGATGTTGAGCGTGGAGGCTGCACGCCGTTTGGACGTCACTGAGGGGGGTTTTGAAGTCGAGGCGTGATAAGGCGTGTGGACTTGGGGGCTGGTGGAGAAGTCTTTTCTGGAGACATGCTCGCTGGTGTGCGGGATTTCTGGAGGAAATATCGGCCGTCGACTGTCGACGTCGGAACGTTTCATGCAACACTGGTTTTGTTCTATTTTTCTTGGAGCTTTTTCTTCCATCCAGCCACCCAATGGTCTCAGTGTCTCCCTTTCTTCGTAGCTGTGTTTGCTGGCCGGCCCTGCGGTAGGATGTGCTGTCCGCCGCTGGGAGGAGAATGGAAGACTTTGGAAGCGAAGGACGGACGGCTTGGACGGTTCGGGGGTGGAAAAGTGGGGCTGCTTGGCGGGGCAGGGATTGGGTGAGTTCATGTGATGTCACCAAGCTCCACGGAAAGGATTCGTAAAAGTATCAAGATCGGTGGATCGGTTGGGTAGATGGCAGATAGCTCTATGATGCTCTATGATGCTCCTCTTTCCCCTTTTAATCTACATGCTCTATACATGCTCCCTTTGGGTGGTAGCTTCATGTCGCTCCCAATCGGGCAGAAGGTCTGGCCATGGGATGGATCCGACCAGTCCCATGGGGCGCGAGCGGATGGTTTCCGCCTGATGGTTGAGGTGAAAGGACCCGGTTGGACTGGGTCTTTGGATCTGTAGGACGGTCTTGGGTCGACTCCAGTCTCAGGGAGTGCACCCCGCGCAGCGCAGCTAGGCGCGCAGCTGCGCTTGTCGGGTGTGGAGATCGTCGCGCGGGTGGATGTGCGCAACTACCACCGGCCCTTCACGTGGCCGTTCCATAGCTGGAACCTGGGCGGAGATGGAGTCGTCGAGTCGTCGGGTCGTCGGCGTCGTCGGGGCGCTGGAGAAGACTTGATGGCGGGTGAGATGGGAAGACTCGACTCCTTGGGGAGGCCTTTGGGTCGATCAGGTTCATGAAGGCGAACGCCCAAGAGAGAGGGACGCGAGGGGCAACTGGGACCTTCTGTTTGTACAGTGGAGAGTCACTCATAGTCTTTGCAACGACACGTGACCTGCATGTGTTCATACGATACGACACGTAGCAGTATCATACAGTACTGTAGGCATGTAACTGAAGATTTTTCCACTCGAGTTGCCGGTCTTGAAGCCTTTCGCAGCCAAGGAATCCTTGGAGGCTTCCGGAAGCCCGGGAGCTGGAGTGCACCGTGCATTTCGATGTGCTGAGAGATCAGTTTAACGTCGTGTCGCTGGGCGGCATCGAGTCCGCGTCGGTTCAGCGTGTGTGCCATGGCTCAACGAGTTCGACGCACTGATTTCGACGCTTTCCTCGGGGTGCACGTCGACGATCCACGATTTGTTGTTGTTTGATGTCAGGGGGGTTGTGGTAGAAGACAGCGGGATGCGGCTGGTTGGTTCTGGTGTGCTGTAAAATGTCAGCTGAGGGCTGAGGGTCACAGAAAGGCCTGCTGAGAGGCTTCTGAACAAACTACCCTCAGCTAACTCTATTTTTCTCAAGGTGCGGGCAAGATCGGGCAAGTGGGTGGGCAGGAGTCAGGAGAAAAGACAATTGTGTTCCGCATTTCGGAAGGGACAGTCTGTGGTTTTGCATAGGACCTTCGTCACAAAAGCTGCAGAAGTCTTCAAGAATCCCCACCATCTTCTAAAGTGAATCTCACTGACTTCAACATCTTCAACGTCTCAGCACACTCTTGACACTCTTGACCCCCTTTGCTAGTCCCAACACTCTTCGACCACCGCCATCAGGCAGTGGTTTCATGAAGGCCGCCGGCCCATTGCTTTGCAGCACGGCATGCGCTTGGCGGTCGTGGGCACTGGCTCCGTGGGGTACGTCAGCCTCCAACAGCTGGCAACCCAGGTTGGCCAACTTGCGCATGTGCTTGCCTGGATGAGGGGTGTTCTAGAAGTGGTATTTGGCCTCCAGATCATGCTCCCACCAATAATAATCTCACCACTATAATTATACACCAAGAATGGGACCCTGAAAGACCGTTTTCTCCTACAACCATAGGTATTCAGGGTCCATGTTGGTTTTCCACGGGGTAGCGGTTTTGTACCACGATCGGAGGGGTCCCTTCCTGGTTGGGAACGTCCGAGCGCCAGCGCTAGGTGCTGTTGGGCTTCACAGCCTTTGGACTAGCGCAGACCTGCCTGGACTACGGGTGGCCCGGCGAAGCGGTTGCCCATCCCTTGTGGCAGCCACACGGGCATCATACATAATTTCAATTAATTTCACTTGTTTAAGGATTCAATATGTTCGAGTCACTCTGGGAGGATGAACGGGTTTTGCCCAACTGGTAGGGAACGTAACGGTTTGTGGTCAGATGGCTCCAACTCGTCCATACAACGCCTCCCCCATCCAATCTTACCCATCAGATGAGTGACCTGGTACATGGTTGCAAGTTCTACAGGGTAGGTGTGGGTAGGTCTTCCGTGAGAGATTTGGCAAAATCTAAGTGCCTGCCTTCCCCGATCCGATCTTGCTAGGTGGTTCTACTTGCACCGGCAGTCCTCCTTCATCGCCGATCGCGCCTTCCTGCGCGTGAACCTGGACGACCGCGGAACCGCCGCCCCGGCCGGCGCGGGCGGGGGCGTGTCAGCGGCCGTGTCGGCCTCAAAGAAAGGCGACTGACGAGGTGGCCGAAAACCCAGCCGCGTGGGTCCTGGGGCGGGCGGGATGTTGCTGGGGTTGAGGAGCTCAGCGCGGGGTGGTCTCCCCGCGGCTTTTAGTAATTTTGGCCGGAGAAGCTCGGTGTTTCTTGATGGTCAGGCCTTGTTCAACAGGGGGGGGGGCGTTTTGTCAGCCCCACATGTGCCATCCTCATTCTGTGGATGAATGGTTTGCAGGGGTTGCGAATCATAGAACTGGACCAGGGGAGTTGCTACAAGAAAGGACTTGAAAAAGTCAAATCTCGGATCCAAAGTACCTGACCTGTGCAAGCTCTGGATAGCTCTGGAAGATCACAGAAAGCAGAAGGACTTGTTGTGAACTACCTTACATGTTTCACATTAAAAACTGGCCGAGTTCCTTGTAACTTCGAGTGTTTAACATTAAAGCCTGTCCATCAAGCAACGTCTTCGCAGCGTTTCCACATCGAGCCACAACATGGAATATGGAACAGGCAGATTTCAGAGCTCCCTCGGCCCAGGTGGCGCATCAACCGTCATCAGCCCACCATAGACAAAATCCCACCACCCCTGCATCAGGCACCTTGAAGCAAAGCTATGTGAAAGGCTGAAAGGCTCGCTACTATTGGCCAAATGAAGCTTGCATCACTGTGAATTCCTGTCCGCAATAGCCAGTCATTTTCCGTCAGATGATCTCGAGCAGCTTTGTTTCCTTTTGAGTACACGAGTTGGTCTTCTTCAGCGGTTTCGCCCCACCCAACTGCAGAAATATGGAGCAACCTTCCATCCCAGTGGGCCCAGACCAGGTCAGCAACCCCGCACTGATCTTTTCACAGCCACCCAAGCTCCGAACGTCGCCACCCGAGCGATTCTGCCGATGCAATTCTTCAAGCCCCTGGCACCTCCGCTGGGCCATGCGCACCGCTTGCAGCAGGCTGACTCGGCCAGCCGGTCATCCGAACGGGTTGATCAGGCAGACAAGAACAGCATCAGACCCAAGAGAAGCCAATTGTGAATCCTTTTGTTTCTTTACTTTAATTTGTGTGCGTGTGGGGTCCATTTCTTATTGTTGCTCTGGTGGACTGTAAATTGTAGTCCTTTGGAGTACAGGACGTGGCTGCATATCATATGACCAGGTGGCTGGGTTTCAGATCAAAGCACGGCCCAGACATAAAAGCCACCTCGGTTGTGACGTCAGTGCATCGAAAGTCGCTAAGAGCATGGGGTCCTGGGCTCTGACCCAATGGCCACCCACCTTGCAGAACCACCAGCGCATGAGGGTCCTGGCGCTTCCCAAAGCCCAACCTTCTAGGTCTCTCGAACGGTCGTTGGGGATTCTTTTTCTGGCTCAAGCGCCACCGATGACATGCGTCAAATCATGACAAATCAGGATGAAGCAAACAGCGGTGGCAAATGTTGGGCAAGCTCATGCAACTCGATGCCCTGAGGAACTCGAAAGCAAAAGCAGATTGCCAAGTGAACTGGCTCCACGGATGGGCCGAGTCACTTGTACCCCGACTTTCAAAGGACCACGACCACGACCTCTCTTGCTTTAAGGTCTCCACCTGCTCCCATGTCGCCATGCAGCCTGACTTGCCTGACTCGCCCATAGACCTCGCAGAGGACCTCCCTGATGACGTGCTCGCGCGCGTGCTCGCGCACGGCCGCGCGCGGGAGGCCGGGCGCTGTGCCGCGACGGCGCGGGCGCTGCGGGCGGCGGCGGAGTCCACGGCGCAGCGGCTTTGGGCACAGCTCTTTGGTGCGTCCACGTGTCATGGGCTCGATGGATGGGCAAAGGCCTGGAATCGCCTGGACCTGGCGAGGTCAGAGGAGCTGGGGAAGGTCAAGGAGAGCTTTGTATGGGCAGCTGGACATGGCCTGCCCGAGAGAGAAGAAGGTTTTGGTATAATTAATTTGTTTGTTTAAGTTTTGCACTTGCAGGAAGACCAACCCAAAACATCCAAAACTAGCTGACTTGCCCATAGAACTTGTACGCAAACCATTGAACCCACTGCAAGGTTACTGCAGCTACCTGGCCCAAAGGGCCTTCTGGGCGCAGAGCCACTGTCCCTCTGCCTCGCTCCAGCTGCTGAACGGCGCGCTCCCTCGCGCGGCGCAGCGGCGCCAGGTGGGAGCCGTGGAGCTGCTACTGGAGCTGCGAGCTGAAGTTGAAGCTCGGTGAGGGTCGTCCGGACCCATCTCTCTGGTTCTCACCATCTGGGTGCCATTCTCGGAAGGGGTGCCAGACGACCATCCTAGGAGTGGTCCGGTTTTTTCAGAAAACAGGTGGGGTCCCTACCTAGGAGTTGATGGTTTTCCAAGCATTGAAGCAGGTGGGTGCTTGGCGTTTCATGGTGTTGTGCCGTGCCTGAAGCAGCATCCATCCGCAAATTTGGGTTCTAGGTGTCTAATTCAGAAATGGATGAGCAAGAAGGACCAATCGAAATCTGCGGTTTGCTTCTTAACCTGAACTCCCACCTCCAGAGAGAGTTGCGCCCTGGTTGCCCCACTCCCTCAAGCTCGCAGAAGTCTTCAGTCTCGAAATCTTCAGTCTACCCAGTATGAAAAGGATCTTAAACTGAGTCACGTCTGGCATAAGTATGTCCAACAAACCTACCTCTGAACACGTTCCACCACTACAGGGCGGCACTTGTGGATGGTGCCCTGGGTTTACCCCACGTCCGGGTGACGTGACGTGGGATTCGCGCTTCTCTTAGGACTGCCTGGGCAAGGGTGGCGCGAGCGCCCTCTTCTGGTCGGCCCGGCATGGCGACGTGCCCTCGCTTCGCCTCCTGCTGGCCGCCGGCGCCTCGCCGCTGCGCGGCGGACCCGCCCACGCGGGCGAGGGGAAAGGCCCGAAGTACCCGGGGGGGCGAGTGCGCCCTCTCAGCGGCCTTGCAGGCGAGGGGTCTTCAAGGTGTCCTAGTGACACCTCCTAAGAAGTCCCTGAAGTTCCAAGTCTTTGGCATTTCCAACCTCCCACATGAAACCGACTCCAGCTTCTCAAGCGTCTCGCTCCTGCTCTCCGCTCCAGGCGCCGGCCGAGAAGGCCTCCGGCGCCCGCCTGGAGGCGCTGCGCTTGATGGCCACGCAGCTCACGCCGGAGGAGCGCCGGAGCGGCCCCGCGCGGCGCGCGGTGCTGGCGGCCTGCGAGGTGCGCGGTGCCAGGGGCGGGTAATCGGCGGCGTAATCGGCGAGGTTACTGCGAGGTTGGAAGGGTGGAAATGGATTGAGGGGATGGTGCTGCGCAGGCGATGTTCGAGGTGAACTAAGGGGTTGGAGTTTGAGCTATTTTGGACCTGGGGCCGTCAGCGTTTGGGCCAGCCAGCGATGCAGAAAGGTGAAAAAGGAAAAGCTATAGACAAAAGCTCGGCTCATTGGTTGATATTTATCCCTGTGCCTTTTTCATCTAAATCATTTTCATATGGTTTACGGTTTGCCCTCGAGGAAAAACCCAAAGAATTGCGGTTTTCAATGCCCATCCCCACCTTGGAGGCCGGCGTGGTGGCCTATGTCTCGGTGCTCCTCGACCAGCTGGGCGCCGGTCCCGCCGACAACGCCGCGCCCGACGCGGCGCCGGGCGCCGCGGCCGATGTGGAGGGGGAGGAGATGCCGCTGCTGGTGGCCTTGAGCCAGGGCTTCTCAGAGGTGGCCGAGCTGATCCTGCAGGACAAGGCAGGGCGAAGACGAAGACCAGTGGAGCTGTCAACATCCAGCCCGGAAGTGTTTTCGGATTTCGATCCTTTTGTGACTTCCTCGGGTTTTTTGGGGTCCAAACCTGAGATCTGCGAGTGAGGCCGTGGCGGGTCAGATCAACCTCACCTTGGCCTCCGGCAAGTCGCCGCTGCACCTGGCGGCCGAGCGGGGTGATCGGCGGGTGCTGCAGCTGCTGCTGCGGGCGCGCGCCACGTTGGATGCGACCACCTCTTCCGGGAGGACGGCTTTGCACCTGGCGGTGGAGCATGATTATGAGCAAGCGGTGCAGGTGCGGGCTGAGGGCAAGGAGGGGGGGTGTCACATGCGGTTCCCTCCCATGTCCTGTTGGGTCCTTGGGTCATTGGTCCGACCGAAGGGTCACCGGTGGGAAATCTCTTGCACCCTGAAGGATTGAGGATGTTGATTTTGTTGAGGCGATGCGACCCACTTTCAGAAGACATTTGTACGGTTTTCTCCACCCCACCTGCTTTCAGAGGGTTTGCGCCCTTTGGCTCATAGATGCACCAGGCCATCTGTGAGAATGAAGCCACAGAGGTTCGGCACTTGCTCCAAGAGACGCCCAACGGCGCCTCCCCTGTGTGCCTGGCGGAGCGCCGTGGCAAGCCGATGCTGATCCTGCCCATGCTCCGGTGTTACCACCGACATCTGCGGGACAGGTACCTGGCAGGGAAGCTCCAAGATGCCTACGACCAGGTGAGCGATCCGCAACTCACCGCCTTGTGTTTGAAGCACCGCGATGCCCTCTTCTTGACCGAAGAGGCTCCCGAGAAAAAGCCGGTCACGCAGTCCGGCAAGGTGGCCTCGCTCCGTTTGCTGCCGCTGGTCGAGGAGGGCGATAAGCTGAAGCGCTACCAGCGGGTGCTGGACAAGACGCGCTGGAGCGGCCTCGATGGCGACCTCGTGGGCCGCGGTCGCTTGCGTTCGCAGCTGGACCTCGACGGCGGCGCCACGCGCGCCGCGCGGGGCGACGCCGGCGCGCGGCCGCGCGCGGCCACGGGCGAGCGGAAGCCCTGGGGCTCTGGAGTGGCGAAGCCAAAGCGGCCGCAGTCTGCGACGAGTGGAGGGCGAGGTGGCCCCTACCAAGGCTGAGGGGGGTTGACTCACAACTCGGCTCAAAACTGGAGGAGATTCAGCGCATCTGGCTCACTATATTATAGGGCTATCAGGAACCCTCACAGTGCTGCCTTTCAGTTCACCCCATTGAAACACCCAGGATCTGTAGGGCTACGCCACGCCGGCACCTTCGTATAAAAATCAATTTTGCATCATCGGTGAGCCAACGAACCATCTCGATGGAAGACCACTGGAACCATGCCCGCCCCCCTGGAGGCACTAGTTGTCCTCCATCCTCCCAGCTGCTGAAGCGCGGCTCAAAGCCAGCGCACCCTCCACCGGCAGCACCGCCTCGCGCAGCGGCTGGGCAGATTGAGGCAGCGGCCCTGGCGGCGGAGGATGAGATGGAAGACTTGATGTGGGAGTTTTTCGAGACGACTGTGACCTGGCATTGGTCAAAGATGATTTCTGGTGTATGAGTGTAGTGCTGCGAGAAATCATTTTTGATGAGTTATAAGGCTGTGAGAATGTTTGTTGTGCAGTCATGCATGCCCGTGGAAAACACAATCTTCTGACGAGGATCCTGGAATCTTTTGCAATTCTACGAAGAATGCTTTGTTTCCTTCTAAGTTTCTTGAAGCTAAGGAGATGGAGAATGAGATAGAGCATGAGATGTATTCCTCTGAGGAGGACTGAATTGGCCCCAATGTGGGCTCACATGTCTCACGGCTTTTGAACAATTGACCGCGCAAAAGAGGGTTGCGGGTCTGTGGAAACGGTCCCTGAAGTATTTTGGACGATCTGCCCAGAAGTGGTGGCACCTGTAGACAGGTCATTTCCAAGTGCTCTTAGTAAGCGGGACCTCGACTCCCGCATCAGCGGGCCTCAAACCTCGAAGCTTTGCGGGGGGGGGGTCGCCATAGATCTCCGCCAACTCCACAGAGCTCACCACAAGTATATATATATATATATCTCTGTGTGTGTGTGTATACATAGAGATGCGCTCGTGAGTCGGTTCTTCCTCCCCTCCGGCAACCATTGAAGGGCGGCACCTGGCCCTGGCGAACCCTGCAGGCTCGGTCGCTTTCTCGGTGGCAGGTGCCCTGCCACTTCCACCCGGAGCCGCCCGTGTCGGTGACGAGCCCGGCGTCGTCCCGGCCGAGGCGTGTCGGAGGGAGGAGCGAGTGGGTGGAAGGGTCCGAGGAGTCCAGGAGATCCAGAAAAAACCATCCCAGACTCGCCTCCAGCACCGCGGTGCTGGTGGTGATTGGATGGAAGCCCAATCCAAGGCACAGGAGTCAAGGGGGTGTCCATCAAACATCCGTGGATTCCGTGGATTCGGTGCTCCGAATCGCTTCTTTCTTTGGGGCTGCGAGTCCGGAGCTCGAAGGGACGGATGGTGGTCTCGGGACTGTGTTGGGAAGCCGGTTCAACACCCGTTCGCAGCGGAGCGACCGTTCGCAGCGAGAGAACCGTCCCGACCGTTCGGCGTTGAGAAAAACAGGAGAAAACAGGGCTCTTGCTGCTGGGTGCTTGCATCCGTGGGTTTTTTTGAGAGAGCGCCTCAAAGGTCTGCTGCAGTTTCGCTTCTCTTCAGTGTGCCACTTTTCGTCGAAGAGAAGGGCCAAGCCACCCGCCGGGCCGGCAGACGGCAGACGAACAGTCTCGATGCGTTCGCCACCTCGCACCTCCCAGAAGCAAGGACACATAAGGACACGTTGTTTACTCGATGGGTGGCGAAGTACACACCTGTTGTGGGCTCTCTGTCGGTCCACCGACCCCGGCATTTGGCCTTGCAGGTTGCAGGCGGCGCACTCAGAAGGTTTGATCGTTCAAAGCATGGGTGTGTCTCAAACGACGGAAGCCCCGCAACCAAAAACGTTTATCTTATTTTTTGGAGTCTTTTTGGGCATCTCCTGGCATCTCCTCCTGCAGTGGGTCAAGAAAAAGCTCTCAGCATCTCTCTGTGAGTGAACCCATTCGGTCAGATTTGAACAGTCAAGGTTTTGGGCATTGGCTGCAGATGAACAAAAACATACAAAAACACTAGCCGTGGAGACGGGCTAAGGAAGGTCCAGTGGTGGATGGCAGATCAGACGATGCACATTCCCTTTTGGGCATTTTCATGTTACCCTTTTTGGTTGGGACTTGGCAAGTAACATTTACCTGATGTAACTTACCTGTTACCTTTTCATGTTAGTGTTACCCATGTTCAGGTTTCATGGAACTTGGCCAGTTACGGTCAGACCATGTGGCGTTTCAAGGATCGAAGCCTCAATGACATCAGCTTGGAGTACAGCTATGAGGAGCTGAAACAGGTGGGGCTGCCACGAGGTCGTCGCGTGAGACCGTCGTGACCGGAAACATCCGCTCGGACCGCTGGTGATTGGAACTACACTGCTGGACTGCACGTTTTTGTGCTACAAGGGTTGGATTCCTTTTCGTTCAACGGTGTTGGCAGTTGGGTTGTCCACTTAGGTCATTGTTGGCTGTATCAAATGCCACAGCATTTGTTTGACCGCTCGTTTTGGTCAACAAAGGAAATAAAGGATTCCATGCATCAGGTTCAACCAACATGGCAACATGAACACTTTGTTACTTGTTGGAACCTTGTATTTCCTGGGGCGGGGCCTTCACAGCCATGTTGTATCATTTTGTGCTGAATAAGCCATGGCCAAAATATTGGGCTAGACTCTAGACCATAGAGAAAGGAGTTAAAGACATGAATAGAACACTTTTTTTTCTTCTTCGGTGCCAAAGCTGCATCCGTGAAAACAAATTCACCCTCGTGGTGAATTGGAGAGATGCCTGTGCCTGGTGAATTCGAGCTCAGAAGTTGGCCGCTTCGGAGCGGAGAAAGGTGTCGTCGACGTCGCTTCGGAGCGAACGCGGCGACGTCCCAAGGCCACCAGGAACTTTGACGATGCGGTCAAGCTGGGCCACTTGGTCGCAGACGGCGCGGTTGCGGCGCTGTTGTCCAGTCGGTCCACCTGCTTCAGTAGAGCTATGCTGCACCACTCATCGCCTCAAAACAGGTATATATATATAAGAGATATATACTCCTATGCCAGAAGCAGTGGATTTTCTCAAAATTGGGAGTTTAGTTTTAGTCCATGTAAAGTTCATCCAGCAACGAACCAGTCCAAAAAAAGCCACACGGAATATGTCCCTGCTCTTTTGTGGTGGAGTGAGCATCACTCTACTCGTGTAGATGGACATGTTCTTATCCCCACCAGACCCACAAACCCAGCATTCAGGCTCGGGCTCCTACGGTGCGGCAGCTCAGGGGGTCACCAGCTCATGCAGATTCATGCAGTCTGGTGTGCCACCGCACCAGCCGGGAGGGAGGTCTTGGAAGGGGCCTCCACCCGGCTTCAGCTTGGCTCAGGTGGAGTGTTCAAAGGAGTGCTCAAGGACTGATTCTTTTTGCTCCTTGCGGGTGGATTCGGCGTGAAAGTAGATCAGATGAACAGATGCTCTGCCCGCAATCGTCCCAAACCCAGCAGGATTTGGGAAAGGTTCTTTAGGCCTTTGGGTTTGATGATTCCACGGCATTTTTGTCGAAGCTGGGAGATTTCATGGTGGCCACTGCGTGGAAACTGGATCAATGCGATTCTTGTTTGTAAGTGATGGATGGCAACTTTTGACTTGTATATACACGTGTACATTGCATGCATTGGAATCGTACTGATGGGCTCACGACAGACTACAGGGACTACAGGGCATTTTCGTGTTCAAAGCCAGAGCATGATGGGGTCAGCTTGAATTGGGATTAGTTGGGATTTCGGTGCCAACAAATCGGGGGTTTCTACATAAGCCGTGATTCCTGTTGCACCCGATCTGCTTGGGACACTCGGCTCCAAGCGCTCGAGGAGGGAACCGAGGTGGCCATCAAGGCACTGAGAAGCGGTTGGATGGCGTGGCCATGTGGCGTCCCCGAAGGGTGGATTGGGTGATGGTGATGGGTTGCATCTTACTAAGCTACTAAGCACCTTAAGCAAATTGCTGGTCAAGGTGATGGATGGTGCGAGCCGGCTCGAGTTAGAATGGCAACATAGAAATAACAGAAGGGTGGAAGGATGGATCGTACTTGGTGATTTCAGAGATTTCGTTTGTTTTTGTTGGGACTTCTTCCATGCGTTGCCTCGTTGTGGTCAGGGATCAGGCTTAAAATTGTGACACCTTACTGATCGAGACCGGACAGAGCACGCAGGAAGTGCACAGAATGACTCGGTGTGTCAGTTTCATCTTGTGTCCAGGCTTTCCATGTGCTGTGACCCAATGTGGGGCGGGGCGCAGGGTGAAACAAAACGAAGCCGCAGGACCTTCACAGGTCACCAATAAAAGAGTGGAACAAGTTGAGTACTCGATTTATGTAGACCCTACTGCCCTGCAAAACCATGATAGGCACAATTCGTACGTCTTTCACAGGTACATCCTGCTCCAGGATGTCAATTTCACCTCAAAAGCAGACTGATCAACCTCATTTGTGTGGAGCAGTGCCAAGAAATTGACGGCAACATCCACATTCTCCTGAGCGGCAAGCTGACCTGGCTCCCTTCTCCCCCCCAGCCTAGCTGGGGCAAGATTTCAATCTGAGGGCGATGGAGGGAGGGAGATAGAGAGAACATGTATGTGTATCTCCCTCTCTTAATGTATATAATACATAGGTGTATATATATATATATGATATGCAATATGCATCGTGTTGCCTGTTGCCTAGTTGGCTCCGCGGACCGTCTTGGACCCTAAGGGGTTCAGATCCCACAATGGTTAGATGACTGGGTGACACTGCTTCGGCACCAAGAGAATCCACCCACGGGCCCCATGTGCGCGGTGCCGCGCCCAAGACGACACATCGCTCCACATGTTTCCCCGGGAGGTTCTCGAGGTGCCCAATGAGGCTGGCTTCGAGGAGGAGGTGAAGGTGCGACTTTGCACCCGAATGGTGTGACTGGACCAAGGGGAGCCGGGATGGCGGGCGTTGGCGGGCGTTGGCGGGCGTTGGCGTTGGAAAGGTTTGCCTTGGCCTGCCTTGCGTGAAGCAGTCAGTAGCAGGGGACCAGCAGATGCAACACATAACTGGAGACTCGCCCCAGTTCCGCCCCATGCTTCCAAGCCTGTTTCACTAGTTTCATGGTGTTACCAGTTTCAGCCCTTCCGAGACTTGAGACCCCTCCGGAGGATGAGACCCCAGATTCCTCTATGAGCGTTCATTCCGGGAGTGATCACTTTCTTCCCCGTCGATCCGTTCATTCCATGAGGTTTCAGCCCTGAAAGAGTTCAGTGCCTGTTGCCTGCCTCAGCAACAGGTCCTCAGCAAGTTCCGTCACCCCAACTTGGTGATTCTCATGGGTTTGGGGCACCGAGTGAGCTGAGCTTCCGCCGTTTGGGAGGTGGGAGGTGGGTTGGTTGGTTGTGTGGAATGACATGAAATGAATGGGGCTTTGTGGGTTTGGGAGTTTGAGGCCCTGCACCAGGGGGATGACCATGGGCCAGAGTGTGGAGGGCGGGCACTGAGGTGGGTTAACATGGTTAAGTGGCCCATACCTGCCCAACTGGCAGTGGATGAGCTTTGTGGAGTCGTGGAGTGGCGTTGCTTTGCGTCAAGTTGACATCGCAGACTTGGCGATGGACATGGTGAAGGTGTTGAAGGCCAAAACCAATCATTTCTCTTGAAGATGTTGAAGGTGCGCAGGGTGAGTAATCATACAGGGTGTTAGACGGACTTTAGTTTGCTGCTCAAAAAGGAGCAACTTGCAAGGAACTAGGCGAAACCTCCCAAAGATTGTGTAGAGTCTGATCAACCATGTAACGAAGACACTGACACCAGACAAACCCTACCCATCCCCCTGTTTGCCCTGTTAGCCCTATGGTGCCGACCACGTCCTGTGAAATGATTTGGGTGGATACCGCTCCTCCTTTGAACCAGCGCGCGGCTCGCTGTGCCGACCACGTGCACGGAGGGCCGGGGCGGTGCGGTGCGGTGCCTCGCTGGCCCCCGAGGCTTCGCGCGCTTTGGCCCGCAGCGACTCCTGGTCTACGAGATGCTGGCGGGCGGTGACGTGCACCGGAGGCCCCTGACCGCTCAGGGCCGCCCCTGAGTCTGAGCAAGTGAAACCCTCAGGGCTACTGGTTTCTGGGCCGCCTGTGGGAACTTTGAAGTGTGTTTTGACCAAGGCTGTTGAGTGAGATTTGAAACGTTTTGTTCCCTATGGCCTGGAAGGCTGCAGCGGAGCAGCCACCAAGACGTGCCTTTCCGGTGGCAAGACCGTGTCGGAACACTTAGACGGACCCAGGCCCTCTTCTGCGGGAACAGTTACACAAAATTGCAGAAGAATCCTGATGCTGAGTGTTCAGGATGTAGAAAGCCAAGGCGAGCTGGTGAGCTGTGAAGAATGTGACATGGTGGTTCGATATGACATGCTGGACAACTTTTCCTCTCTTTGCGAACCAGTGATTTGGCAGGTCTTTTTCTCATGATTCACTTCAAAAACCCAAACCCGGCAAACGCTGAACACGGGCGGCCTGAGGTTGGTGTTGCATTGGACGCTGCCTGCGGGCTATCTCATCTTCATCATTCTTCACCCAAAGCGCGCTGGATGATGGGAGTGTCTGCTGATGGAAGAGATGCAAAGAATGGAGTCCGGCATATATAAGCTCAAAAGCAGACATGCATACAGACCGACCCCATGATGTCCTGTCGACAGATGGGGGTCCATTTTTCAACCTCTCAATCCACTCTAACTGTCAAGTGGTGAACGTGGGCTTCCACCATGCGCAGCTTGCGCAGAGCTTGCGCAGAGCTTGCGCAGAGTGTCTCGCAGAGCGTCTCGCAGCGCGGGGCAGGTGTTTCACCGGGACATCAAGAGTCCCAACATCCTTTTGGACAAGAACGGCACCGCGAAGATGGCCGACTTTGGTGCGGGGCCTCGGAGTGCTGGGCTATATAACGAACGGCTACATCAGCGGTGGGGCGGGAAGGGGGGGTTTTCATGGAGCAACATGTGATGGACGTCCCTTCCAAAGCTCAAAATCCCATGGGTTATGGTTCTTCCCTTCCAAAACTAACCCCAAATCGCAAAAGAAAGTGCCGCACTCCCTTGGTTTCGGCAGATCGAAGGGACCCCTCCGAAGCTCAGCTGGCGGTCCCTCGCGCCGAGGCCTCGCCTGCCTGTCGCACAGTGCGGCGCACCGGGTGCAGAGGGCCTCCGGCACGGTGCGGGCCGCCGGACCGCGGGCGAGCGCGCGCCACCGCGACGGAAGGCGAGGACCACCAGGGAACATGCACCTGGAAACCCGGATGGCGTGGACCAGACTGGAAGACGAGGGAACCGAAGACCGACCCGGGCGTGGTTTTTTTCAGGTTCCATGGTGGGTCTTCGAAGCAGGGAGGGCGTAACATCGAACCCAAGCGACCGAGAGCGGTTTGTCCTCCCACCAGGGCGGTTGTTCTATGTGATTTGAATGTTTTGTTTGTTGACCCACTCGCCACTCGCAGAAGTTAATGACCGTTAGCGGGATGGTGGGCATGTTGGCATGCCGACTATGGATGGTTTGGCCAACGCCCCTTCAACCTTGTGCTATGATAGCACGCAAGAGGTTTGATTTGATGTGCCCACTTCTCCTTTGCCCCCTTGCTGTGCAAAGACACCACAACCAAACCCCGCGTCAACCTGGGGAACCTCGAGCTACAGGCTCAAGCGTCACAACGATTATCCCCGCTCAACGTACAAATGGGCTCCCACCAGTTTGGAGTACTGCAGCATAGCATATATACTAAAACCATCTAAAACATTCTAAAACCTTTCTAAACATTCTAGACACCCAGGTGGGCTACGCCTGCCCACTCTACGTGCGCCGTGGGGTGGTCACTGAGGGCTCTGAGGCTGGTCCTGGGGTGGGGGGAACGGACGACTCTCCAAGGCAAAGCACCCGGACCCCGAGAGCCCTTGGGTGTGGCGGCTGTCTCATTGATCAGATAGAGACATAGACAATCATAGACCAATTGGACAACCACACAGTGTTAGGAGCATTTGGGAGGCAACAATGGTGAGGTAGCAATCTCCACCATGTGGACCATGTGTGGCATCATATCCACCCACCCACATACTATGACAATCATAGACCAGAACTTCTCCTGGTTTATGAACCCAAACTTATTCCCAAGCATAGTCCCAAACATATTCCATGATCGCCTGTTTTAACTACCAGATGTTCTTATCATTCTACCCTGCCTTGGCATCCCCTTGTTTGACCGTTGAGGTCTACTCCTTTGGCATGGTCCTCCTGGAGTTGCTGACCGCTCAACCGTCCGGGACCCCGCAGCTCCGGCGAGGACCGCGCGCCGATGGTTTTCACCTCTCCACAATCGCAAGAACCGGTGGCTGTGGAACCCAAACAGCGTAGATCTTCGGATGGACTTGGAACTTTTGAGCCTATAGAGTTCCCAGTCGAAGTTCCCAGTCGCGCTTCGTTTGGCGTTCCAACGCCGGAAGGAAGGACGCTCCGACGGAGGTTCGTGCGCGCACACGCGCGTCTGCGCGCGCGAGCCGCGAGGCCGGCCTACATGAGCCGCCGGAGCCGCGGTGGCGATGGGCAGATCCAGGACGGTGGCGAGGGTCGGGTGCGGGGTGGTGTGGGTTTTGGACGTTTTCGGGATGGAGTGTGGCTCAAGATGCACCATCCGCTGGTGGGGTTTGGTTTCTCACTAGGGGCCGCTCAGGCAGCCATAAGTCTTGGGGTGGTTTTCCATGGTTTTCCTAGATCCACTAGGCCACGAGGGTTGTGAGGCACCTGGTTGGCAGCTGAATCCAAGGTGAGTTCTTTGTTTTCCGGAGTTGACTTCCATACCACCGAAGTGATCCCAAACACAAGAAAAATGAAGCGAATCTGGCCGCCGGGATTCAAGGTCAATGTTGTGGGTGGGTGAAGATCTTCACATTTCGACGTTCCTTTGATTTCTGCCTCGTCTCCTGAGCACACCATCCCCATGCCCACCTTTGAACCAGGTGCCCCGATCCGGGATTAGAGGTCCAGATGCGGGGTCCGCCAGTACCTCACGTCTCAAATCAATGGCGACCTCAAGTGCGTCCAGAAGCTGTTGGACCCGAAGGCGCTGTGCGTCCAGAACCTGGTTGGCTGTCATCAGCCTAGTGGTGTGTTGGGCAGTTGGGTTCGACTGGTCGTGGAGGGCTAGGAGGGCTAGGCTTTCGGAGACGGTGGCTGACAGTTTAGCTTTCGACGTTTTTGGTTGAGCGAATGCACATCCGATCATTCTTTCTACTTTATTTATACCTACTGCACTATGCATTTTCATTGGCATGATGACCCTCCTGTGCAAGTGACCCTCGTGCCCTTTTTGCCATGCCCTTTTTGCCATGCCAGGCCTCCTGGCCCTCGGGCGCGGCCCAGCGGTTGGCCGAGCTCGCACTGAGCTGCACGCAGATGCAGGAGGACGGGTCACACGGGGTGCAGGACGGGTCGCAGCACGGTGACCAGCTCTTGATGGTGACCAGTGGGGAGCCCCAACCATCCCTTGGCCTTGGGCATCCAGTATTTTCGGGGCTTTCTCATGCCAAGGCCCAAGTCGGTAGGGGATTTGTGGTGGGAAAGGCAAGCGCCCTCCTGGCAGTGAGGTGGAAAGAGGGTTCACCAACACTGCGGTTGTCCTTGGAGCAAGCCAGGCAGCCCGGAATTTTGATGCTAGCCGCCCGGTTCCACCACGCTAGGTCTCAAGGTATTTGATCAAAAATCGGCCTTCGGCATTCCTTCGTCAGTTTTAGGATCACCCACGTGAATTTCCGATAGAAAAAGGCAAGGTTCGCTCGCCTGTCTCCTTTTGGGGTTTCATTCCCAAGACGTGGTAACCTGGTAGGGCACACAGGATGTGCTCATGGTGTGACTGTATGGCTTTGGCTGGATGTCTTCATCTCAACCCTCCGGTCGAAGCACCGGTCGACGTGGTTTCCCTCAGGAGGCGCGGCCCAGCTTCGCCGATGTAGCCAGGGGGGCCAAGGAGAGATCCGACCTGCGCGTGGTGCCGAGGTCCCGCGAGAAGAAACTGTGAGGATCTTCGTGTCAATTTCTGCGGCGTTGCGAAGAAATGGTTCCCCTGAAAAATAGGTTAAAGCATAGGTCGCAGAACCAAAAGGCTAAGGTGCTTGCCTGCGTCCGGTGCTTCGACTGCAGCTTCGACTGCCGCACGTCCCGACCTCTCGGCCGAGGTCCGCGCGCTGCGCGCGCTGCACGAGGCGCCCGCGGAGATCCCGCCCGAGACGGGCCAGCGGTGTGAGGCGAGGCAAGTCGAGGCGAGGTCGGGCGGTTGAGGCGGGATGCGACATGTCCCGGGTTAGAGTGTATGTTTTACAATGCATGTTTGGATCAGGAAGAACTGAAGTGTGGACTTCTTGGAGTCAGCTTTTGGAGATCCATGCTGCAGTTCTTCATCCGAGGTTCCATCCGCCTCGCCTGCCAGGACGGAGCTCGCCCCTTCCGCCCGGTCTCCTCCAGCGCGAGCCGCGAGCGGAGCTTGCGAGTTTGGAGCTTAGGGGCAGGCGGGGAGGAGGTGCGTCAGCAAAGAGCTACGGAGCCTTCTAACGGGGTCGGAGAGGCCCAGCAGCACTGTAGTTTGTCCCACTGCCCCATCTGTGTCACAAAAGGGGGGTCCCACAGCTCTCCCAGCCAGTTGGCCTGGATCATTAGGAGTCAACAGCTGTTCCCCCTACCTAGATTCAAGACTTATGAATGGATGGTTTGAAAAAAGGTCATGACCGTTCGGATGACGTACCGTGCATCAAAAAGTCTTGGACTTCCAGCCGTTTCAGCGGGAGGTGAAGCCTCTCTCACCCGCCTATTCGGTTGGGACCGGACGGTTCCATGCAGGAACCTCCAGCTGTTCCATGTCTTGCTTTTCCGGACCGGACATGTTACCTTTTTTGGTGTTGATCACTCTGGAGAACAAGCGTGCCAGTTGTTTGCACACGTGATTTTGGGCTTCAGGAGGTTTGCAAAAGGAGAATTGCAAGGGGGTTGTTCATTAAGCATGTCCAAGAAGGGTTCGGGCTCTCCCCGCCTCCGATGAGCTAAACGAGGCCCCGCAGGAGTTGAACGAGGTCAGCCCTCGCCAGGCAAGACCCCGTGGGTGGCGGCATCGCTGCAGCAGGGCGGGTTAGATCCACCTAAATAAGGCCCAATGCGTCTGCCGGGTGTACCTCAAGTCTACAGTCCATCCAAAATTGGCGATCTCGAAATGGAGGGCCTTACCCTATAGCCTATAGCCCTAGTTCTAACAAGTAGTAGGAGGAGGTGTGCTAAATAGGTGTCACAGGCTCCGGTGTGCCTTGCCGACGCTCAAGGACGAGCGTCGGCAGAGGTGGATTTGTTCAGGCCAATTTTCACAACGAAGAGGAACGTGCATATGGAGCCCTTTATATATATAAACACTGCTATTCAGCTCTGACTTGGCAGCACACTCCAAGAAAACACCCCTCACTTCTGGAATCCCAGAACTTCCAGAGAGGGAGAGGGAGAGGGAGAGAGAGAGAGAGAGAGCATATGTATATAATTACTCCGATCACACATCCCCCCTTTTGGGCACCAATCGTTTGGCGATGCTCTGCGTTTTGGAAAGGTCACTGACGGAGTTGTTAGCGAAGAGCCGCATGTTTGTGTCCTTGCAGCCCACTTTCGGGTTTGCAGCCCAACCCAAAATTCATCTTACCGACGTCATTCCAAGGTGTGTTTGTTGGGTTGTCCCCTTGCAGATACCTCCCTCGGAGCCGCTGGTCCTGGAGCTCTTTGCGCTGGAGTGCGTTCGAGCACAAGGCCCCGGAGGGGTGTTCAAACACCGCGAGCAGAGAGCTTCCCACCATCTAAGAGAAAGATACTCTGTCATGAGTGGGGTCGAGTGCTGGACTTTGTTTATTCTTTCCGAGCTCCACACTTTGATCACTGACGTGATCTCACTTTTGACCCGTGCTTTTGATAGGTTAAAGCCGCAAAGCCCATTCGCTGGATTCGGCTGGTAGGAAACAGATGCCAGTCGACCCCTGAGGCTAGTTCTGTTTTTTCCCCGAGAGGTTGTCACTAAGCACCACCCGCGGGGCTTCAGACAGTGAGTGTGTCGATGATCAGGTGGGTACATGTGATTTCGGAAGTGTCCTTGGACGCCATCAGAACTGGGTCTACCATGATGACGGGAACTAGGTACAGTGGGTTGAGAGTAGATGGTGCAAGTTACCCCACGTTGGGTGGTTTATATGGACCCCACCTCAAAGTCATCTTGGGGTGCCATCTACTCTGAAACCACTGTCTGACAAGACCATGCTTCGAAGCCCCCCTTGGTGGCGCTTTGATGCTTCTTACTTGGCTGCTCGGTAGGCGCCGATTTGCAGCGGATCGCCTCCAGCAAGCGACGGATCGCCCACGGCCTCACGGCGGAGGTGGGTGGGGGGTGAGGTGGGGACGGGTGGAAAGATGAAATATTCGTAGCTTCTTGCTATTAGTAGCGATGCCCTTTGTTACCAGTAGCTTCTTGCTCCTAGTTAGTAGTAAGGCCAGGAGCTACTAGTAGCTTCTTGCTCCGTTCCTAGCGATGCCCTTTCTCAATGTGTATCTCAATATCTGCCTTGGGAGCGTTTGAGGGGCAGGTGTTTTCATTATAGTCTTTTGCCTGGGTTGTGCTTGATTTCGAAGATGATATGTGCGACGAGCGCCGGGAGTACCAATGCATTTTTTCGCAGAAATAACCTCAGACATGTTGTTTCTTTCTATGCTTGGCATTGTTTAGCCATGTTTGGTCCACGACTTTTGAAATTGCTGCCTGGCCACAATTTCCGATTGGTCTCGTCGCTTCATGGAGTGGCGGCATAGCACTTTCGCCATCACTGAATCAGTGGAAAGATGAGTTGAAGAGGTCCTGTGAGGGCAAAGCTGCCCCTAATGCATCCGTTTGGCCCAACAGCACGTGGCCGAAGCCCTCCGGTCGACGCCGTCCGGTCCGCAGGAATCCGCTGGGGACCTCCTGGCTGCCACGGACCGGAAGGTTGGGACGGTGGGACGGTGGCAGCTTGCATTCAGGGAGGTGGTGCGCCCGCCGAGGGAGGCTTTTTGGGAGGCTTGTTTTGGGTCTTGGAAGCATGGAACAGGACGCCCGGAAGATGTATTCCATCCCCGGCCAGCGGGTTTGGTCCACTTCGGTGCTGGAGAGATTGTATCATGAGTTGGGCTCATTGTGCTTTGAACCTGTTGGATGAGTCTAAGTGTCTAAGACCATGCTTCGGTAAAGTCCTGTAGGAGAGGGTTGGAGTGTTCATTCCCACTGAAAACCTCGCCAGGGGCCGCTCTGTGTGGGCCGCGCCTTCCAGACTCCTTTGTTTGAGGAGTGCGGAGACTGCAGATTGCAGCGGCCCAGTTTGGGATCAAACAAACGAAGAATACCGTGGGCGGTCTCTTAATCTTTGAAGGTGTGAGTTGTGGCTAGTTACGGCTAGCTAGTTTGTTGATCATCCTCTATCGTTCCAAAGGCATCATTGCACTACTTCCTTCCTTCCTTCCTTCCTTCACAAACCTTAGACTTAGACAGAATTTCCATGAAGGCCACCCTCGCTGCGTGCATGTTTCCCGTTTCAGGAGCTGGTGGCCAAAAGTGTCTCGGGCCGGTCGACCATCTCGCGGGAGCACTTCCAGGCAGGAACGTTGGAGATCTGTGATGAGTCGGTCGTTCTGCCGCTCTGCGCGGTCTCTGCCCGAGCCAAAAAACAATCTGGTGCAGCATTGTTTGGTTTCCGCAGGTGTCGGTGGACTGCAATCCTCGAGGCGTGCATTCCGATGACTGTACAGAGGATTCAAGACAACCTGGATGGTGGGCGTGACTTCAATGCAATCTGCTTAGGGCCTTGAGGCCATCCAGACCAAGCAAGCCACGTGAGTGGCTAGACGACTCGGGGCGCCACGCCGCGCCCCTCGTGGCGCGGCGGTGTCACACGGCTTCTCCGGTCCCGACGGTCATGCGTCGGTGCAGGGTCATTACGTCGTGTGTCTCCCAAACAGAGTAGGAAATGGGTGGGTAGGGCTCCCAGAAGATACCACTGTTCAACGTGTTAGAAACTGCTGGGTGCTCCTCGCCCAAGGATGGGACGTACCACTTCAAGTGGTGTGGATCAGGATTGCATCAACTCACCCGAAGGGGTCTCCAGTGATTGTCTTGCCGCTGGTAGCATCACAGGTTCGACCGGGGTCCCATCCACCTTGCAGCCGGTCCCATCCACTGACCGGCTGCCAAAAGCCCAACCGAACCACTCAGGGGATCAAGGACGGTGGGGAAGCATGGATCGAAACGACCCCACATCCATCTCAGCGCCCGCCCCGGAACCCGGAGGCCGGGGTGGTCGACCGCGCTTCGTCCTGAAGAACTGCAGTGGCAACGGCACGAGGCTCAACGACCAGATCTTGCAGGCACAACGACCCGCGGTGACGGAACGGGTCTGAGCGGAGGTCGTTGGATGTTTTGGGGTTCATGGCGCCTGGCCGATACAGCACACTTGGAGCATGTTCCACACCAGGAGAATATCATGATGAAACCACAAAGTCCTATGAAATGCAAGTAATACAGGATGAATGATGAATTCAGTTCAATGCTTGTTTCCGCCGCTCATTCTAGGGATGGCCCACACACATACACACAGCAAGAAGAACGCCCCACCCTGGGTGGCTTTCTTTTCCCTTCTTCGATCTGAATGAACCGCACAGAGCCCGGGACGCACCTCCACGTCGCGCGCGCGCGCGCATTTTGCACGCAGGGCCGGGGAGATGAGGCGCCCCTGCGCCATGGCGATCTCGCGGGGGGCGCCTGGAGATGCCCAGTTGGGTGCGGTCGGAACTGGACGCGGAGCAGGAGCGATGTGTGGGACCAACGATGGAAAAGAATGGGAAAAGATGTGAGTGAACTATAGGAATTTGGAGGGGAGGTTCGGGGATTGGTGGGATTTTGCAGAGGTCTTTCCTTCAGGCACCCTCCAATAAGTCTCTGAGCTGAACGTTTTGGGCGACCAAGTCTCAGTTATCCAGTTGGTAAGCCCCCCCTGCGCAGCTCACCAGTTGGCATTCATCCATGAGACGTGTGTTGCGCCAGTGATTTTCTGAAGACAGTCTCTCTGGTGGTAACAAAGAAGGAATGGAAGGTGATCTCTGTTGGATACCTCCTTCATATTTGGTGATCTCCTTATACGTCTCTCTGTTGTGCAGAGGCTGTGTGGAGGGATGCGGGGGCTCGAATGATCGTACGTGACGTGTTGGATGACGGACGTTGCTGGCTTCGGTCGGTGCGGTGCTTCCGCTGCCAAACCGAGACAGCTTGAGGTTCACTGGAGTCTCCAGTTTCGGCACCCAAATCCCCGCGCAAGATGATCCAAGGAAATCACTTCTCAAGGCCCTGGTGCTGTCTATATCAGCGCCCCGAACTTGATAGAAAAGCGGTGCCAAGCCAAGCGCCCACTTTTTTCCCCAGGTTTGTCCTTCAAAAAAGGGCCGCCCAACCGCCAAACCTGCAAGAACTCCACAGATACGGTTTTTCCACGGACTGGGCGCGTTTTCTCTCGCGGCGAGGTCACCTTGACCCGTTTTGGTCCAGCGGCGGGGAAGTCAGAGGTGGGGTGGGGAAGTCCCGCGTGGTCGAGCAGCGGCAGTGCTCACAAGACGGCTCAGAACGTGCCAAGGTACTAATGCTGCTGTATATATATATATGTATATATCTAATATAGATATATGGTCTAGTTACTGCATATAGTTACCAGTTAGTCTGGTTTGAGGGCAGATGTCGTTTACAGAAGGGCAAGGTCGTCCCTGCCTTTTTTGAACCCTTATATAGCCGCTATAGCAGCACCTTGGAACCAAGGTCACAAACGGTATAGACTTGTATCAAAGCAGATGGCACACATTTCAAGTTGAGATTCTCCGTGGATAAGTCTGCCTTCTTTCGATCACCACGGAGGGCTTCTGGTTTGCTGCAGGGCAGCAGCCGGTTTGCCTTGCTGCCTTTGATGGCTTTGCAATCGGAGTTCAAGCCTCCGAACCACAAAGGGCATGAGGAGTTCAGATTCTCGCGGCTTCCACCAAAAACACACTCTTGGCTTTCACCACGAAGGGGTTTTGGCACACCCGATGCTCTAGCCCGTGGTGAAGTTCCAAAGGACTAGTAGCTTCCTGTTCCTAGTAGTAGTGCCAGCCCTAGTAGCTTCTTGCTCCTAGTAGCGATGCCCGCAGCTACCAGTAGCTTCTTGCTCCTAGTAGCGATGCCCGGAGCTACTAGTAGCTTCATGCTCCTAGTAGCGATGCCAGGAACTATTAGTAGCTTCTTGCTCCTAGTAGCGATGCCAGGAACTACTAGTAGCT